CGGGTAACCAAACACATGTACAGCCTTTTCGTAATGTAGTGATCATCAAGCTCTTTGGACCACCTTTTTATAAAACCAAGCGCGGACCTAGCTTTGCTAATCGAGAGCTCAATATGCAAGTTAAAACGTAACCTATGGTCAAATAAAACGCCTAAATCTGTGATCGCATCGACATCCTCCAAATTATGCGAATCTATGAGATACTGAGTAATGAATGACTTTCTTCTTAAGAATGAAAGCTTCTTACATTTACTCAGATTTAGTTTCAGCAGATTCAAAGAGCACCATGCAACAAAATTATCCAAATCACCTTGAAGCTGATGTGATTGCGATTCAACAGAGAAGGAAGAAAACAGTTTCACATCAGCATACATTAAGATCTGGCTGGAATTAACCACCGATGGGAGATCGTTAATGATAAACTAAATAAAATGGGACCTAAGTGATTTCCTTGAGGTACGCCAGACGTAACGGGGAGTTCATCCGAGGTAATGAAGTTAAATAAAAACCCTGAAGGATCTATTGTGCAGATAAGAGCTTATCCATTTCACTAAGTAGGGTGGGAAACCAGAGGCTTGCAGCTTAAAGATAAGTAGTCTATGGTTAACTATATCAAATGCTTTGCTTAAATCAGTGTAAATAACATCTGTGCGAGAGCCACTAGAAAAAGTCTTGAAAACATGACAGTTAACTCTAACAAGTTGGTGACTGTAGATCGCCCTTTCCGAAAGCCGTGCTGGTGCGGAGAAATATACGAATTAATGGCGGAGACCAAATACTGAGTCACAATACGATCGAACAACTTGGGCAAGACACTCAACTTGGCTATGCCTCTGTAGTTCTCAACAAATTGTCTACTTCCACTCTTGTGGATAGGAATTAGGACTCTACTCTTCCAACATGAACGGAAAACACCTAAATACAAGGACATGTTAAAAATCTTTGAGATCACACCACATAACTCGACAGCGCAAGATTTAAGTACACATGATGGAATTCCATCAGGTCCAGGCTAATAACTGTATTTTAGTAACTCAACCCTTTAAAAACGTCATCTTCCGAAATAACCAAGTTAGGTATTGAAACCGAGTTAGTTATAGGATATGGGTAGTTTACTGATAAATCGAGATTAGCAATCGAAAAGTTACGTCGGAAATACTCAGCAAATAGATTTGAGATTTCAAAATCATCCGAGGAATCAGAGCCATTAAAAGAAACATGAGAGGGATATGTGGAAATTTTTCTTTTAGAGTTAAAATATTTAAAAAAGTATTTAGGATTAGCAAACAGAGAGGATTTAATGAACTGAAGGTATCTGCAGTAATAATGATGGTTGAGGGAGTTAAAACTATGCCTCGCCACCGAGTAAGCGACATAGTCGAGCGCAGAGCCACTTTTCGAATATTTTTTTAATACATTATTAGCATTAATATACAAAAATTTTGCAAGTACTTTAGCGACAAATATACATAAAAAATATGTATATGTCTTTTCATTGAAACTAATTTTCTTTTTTAAATTAATATAATGAATGCGCGAATAAATAAATAAAGAAATGAGTGAGGGAGTGAATAATGAATGAAAAATTGAATATAGGAAGAAATGAATGAATGAATGATAGAATGTTAAAGTTACAAAAGGCGAACGTGAAGGCGATGCGCCTCATACGTACCAGATTGTTCATTTCACATTAATTTTGAACGCGGACATACTATTGCTCGGCTATTTGTGTCACGAAATCTTGTAAATAACAATGCTTTTTCAAGTAAGAACGTTTCTAAAAAGTGGTCGGAAGAATGTTTCGTTCCGAATCACTTTCAACAGAGTTCGTCCCTGGGCCAAGCCGCGTCTGCGTATCAAATTTTATCAAAATATCTCAAAAGTCCGAAGTACAGAAGACCGTTGTCAATCGATTGGTACAATAAAAGATGGGCCTATCTCAAATCCTTCTGGATGCTGTATAGATCCGTACAACCTGCAAAAATATGGATACACTGTGCGTAAAACCCTGCAGCCAACTGTCTATTAACTTACCAGCTATATCAAAATTCTCCAACTATGCCATTAAGTCGTATACAGCTTCTTTCTTGTTTTGTAACGAATAAAGCATTTTTTCTCTGCATTTTGAATTGTTTTTTTTAATGTCTTCTTAATTTTACTCCTGTTTATTTTTTCCGTGGAGAATGGCTGAATGATTTAATAAATACACGCAATGTTGTATTTTCTTCACATTCACATGATTATCGTTATGATTATTAATGTAATGACATTTTTGAAAAAATTTTGTGTTTCCTACCTTTTATTTTAATTCTACTTAAACGCACATCAAATCACAAATTAAATGCGCTGTGCATCAAAAAATTTCTTTTGTATGCCATTTTAGAGGTGCATGTTCGTATATGTTTGTTGTTGCATGTGTGTCCATTCGTATTTATGTGTGTATTCGTATTTACGTTATTTTATTTTCAAACTATTTATTGCCGCCTTCCTGGGGCTTATTAAATGTTTTCTCTTGTAAGCCAATAAAATGAATTTGTGTTTTTATTACATCTTATAAAATTACTGCACATTGTCTACTCTTTACGAAAAATGTTCATAACTTTGCTCATAAGTAAGTAAGTGCACACTACATTTGTGTACAAATTTCTAATCTATTTATTATTTTCCTTTTGCGCTCAGTTGAACGAGAAACTTAATGCTGGATTCAATTTAACATTATTGAAAAATTAATTATTGTTATTCTTAAATAAAAGCAAGTTGCTATAAATAAAACTGGAATTTTTGAAACAACAGAGATAAATACTTTTCTACGTAGGTATGTTTGTATATATGCAATACTTTAAATTAGAACAACACGTTTATTATACGACAACACCAGCGGAAGGTTTGGCTCCCAAAATATCTGATAATCTCTGTTGATAGTTAGCCAGTGTATTAGAGTCAGTAATACCTCGTGCTTTGCATGATAATTGTAAGGCATTTAAATATTGCATTTCAGTGAATTGGGAACCTTGCTCGACAATGGTAGTAATTATTATCTAAAAACAAAAATTGTAAAAAATTACTTTAGAAATTCAAACCAACATCCTTGCTTTCATTTACATCCGGTTCCATGCATAATAATTCGTAGAATTGTTTTGCTTGATCTAAAGCCACTTCTCTGGAGCCCGTTATGTTACTTAGAGTTTGTTGTAGAGACAGTGCATTACGACACATTCGTTGTACAGTAACTTGATCAATGTTCTCCAAATAATTGGAAGCTTGTATAAGTATGCGGGCTGCTAAATGAGCCAAACCTTCAAATATGTACTAAAGAATAAAAAAAAATTTGTATTGGGAGGATATACGTAAATATATATGTGATTACCCTAGTTTTCCGCGCATGTAAGGTCGCACTAAACGCTTCATCCATTTCAGCTAAACGTTTTGTCAATATTTGTACTTGCCTATCTGGTTCCAAAACATCCTCTTTACTATTTATAAAACTATCCACTCTGCCATTTTGAGGATTAGTACGTAAATAATGGAAGCATTGTACTCGCACCTGCGTCAATAAAAGCATAAAAACCAATGGTAATTAATTTTGCAGCTGCAAAAACATTGTATTAATGAAACGGGACATTATGGTTGGACAGGCATTTTAACTTCCTGAAAGTGTTTGCTGAAGAGTACGAATTTTCATCCCTCTGAATGTCAAAACTCTTCGATTAAACTACGATATTTATCACACATTTTTATAATCGAAGCTAACATGAAAATTTGTTATGATTTCACGATAATAACGGAATATGAAAAATGATGCAAAAATTAAGAGAGCGTAGATCATGTTGAATTATAATGTGTTAATGTACTCGAAAATATTTATGGTTTCAGTCACTTTCACCGAATAGTTTATGCCGGCAAAATAATTCATATATAGTGAAAGACTTATCCTTAAGCGTATACTTATTATTATTATTATTATTATTCGACTAAAATAAAAACACAAAAGAGGCTATCGGCTGCATTTTAGAAAAGAAAATTAGATATTGAACCTTGTATTGTTAATAAAACAAACGTGTACCTAGTGTATGTAGATTCAATGAGACAAAAGCACTACGCAGTTCGAAGAATATATGTTCATATATTATTTCTTACCTCCAAATGTAGTACCAACAAACAAACGTTTGCTAATTCATCAAACTCTAAAGCCAAGTTAGTTAGCACTTTTATGGTACCATCTTTAACAGCTACATATGCACCACAATCCGGTACAGCGCTTAAGCCATTAACTAGAGGGCACCTGAGTTCATTTGCGAACCCAGAAATTTGCATTGAAAACCATTCCATGCTTTCTTGCAGTATAGCTAGTTCCTTTAGAACGGAGATATCAGTTAAAATTTCCTGTTGCGAAATGCCTCCCTCTCCCAAATTGCTAGTTAACATTTCCGCCTCGCGTATATTACGTTGTTGCACTTGCAGGGGACTTTCCTCTTCGGAGGCTTCGAAATTGTGGCGTTGTAGTTTCTTACCTTGCCTTAAACGGTGACTGGAACTTTTTAAATCAGTCCAGTTCGGCAGAGTTCTATTTAATTAAATTCAAAGCAAAAACAAAAAGAAATGTTGTTGCCAATTTCAAAATTACCAGCAATTATGCCAATTGTGTGCATAATTTTTCTTAACTATAGATAATATAAATATCAGTTTAAAATTTTCTTTTATTAAAAAAGAAAATTTAAAATCTTTTTATGACATAAACAAGCGATGCAAACAATCTAAATTTAGAATGTGCAATCCTTACTTTAAGAAACGGCTAATATCTTCATCTTTTAACCAGGCTACGCTGTAAATTCTTTTATCCTCAGTATCAGGTTGGACTATGCCTCGGTAGGCTGCCTGACAAATTTCACGATAATCTTTTAACAAGCAGCAAACAGTTTTCAATAGCTCCTCTGAGAAACAGGGTAAATCTTGTATCAAATGTTTTGTCTCCATTAAACATCTCTCTACTCGAGCAGTAGATTTTAAGACAGGTCGAGTCAAATTGAGTTCTTTCATTTCTTCTGCACTTACAATCGCACGCCACACTTCCTGATTTTTTGACAATGTATCGATGCACACCTGTAAGTTGGAGTTATGACCCTTTGAAAGGAAAGTTTCTTTAATGTAGTTGTCTATAAAGTCATGAAGACTGCAGGGTTGTCTGCAAAACGTTGAGGCTATATTTATGTGTTTTTCCTTTTTAAGCAAAATTTACGTACCCCGGTTTGCATTTCATGAAAGCCTCGATTTCTTGTATATAAGTCATTAAAGGCAAATACACTTTGGTTATGACACCTTGATCCGGACTACAAATTAACAATTTTTGGCGAAGTTGATCGTTTGTTTGACTGCCTTTAAAACTGCTTCCAGCTGATTTGCTGGTACTGGCATTTAATATAAAATTTAAATTGTCATTAGAAACATCCGAAGCATTACGCCTGTGTTCTTTTTGTATAGGATCTGCTGTGTCTGTTAAACTACAGTTTTTGTGGATTAGGTTGGCAGATTTATCAAATTTGAATAAAGACTTTTTAATACTGAAATTAAAAAGAATAAGATAAATATTTAAAAGAGAAACTTTTTAAGTAATCCTTAAATACCTTGAAACTTTACGCCTCAGAAAGTAAGAGTTCATATTACGGATAGGTTCAATGTATGAATTTTGAATATCATCATCCGCGGAAGCATTTTGTATATCCAAATAATCAGTTAATAGCAATTGCAACTGGAAAAACGAAAGCAAGAAGAAAAACTATATTCTTCCTGATTTGACGCCTGAATATATACCCCTGCTTTATTTCTAAACTATACTAAGCCAGTTGTAAAGAGAACCCTTACGGACTTCTGAACAATGTAAACTAACGATAGCACTTTGCAGGCGTATTAGACCTTGTTCGAGGTATTTCTGCTCTTTAATTCTTGCACACGTTATGCGAAATATCCTAAATTTTATTTATCTATGCGATTAATATAAGTGAGTAATTGACCTTCCCACTGCTATCGAAATTCATGAAACTTGAATTCAAACCACGAGAAACGGACGAAATAAACTGCTGCAGGAATATAAAAGCTTTGAATATTTATTTTCTGACGTACCACCGACTGTGCTTGGGACCAAAAATGTGTTAAATCGTAGGGCTGTGAACCGACTACTTGATATTTTTGAACTATGGCTAAGAAGTTTTTCAAAACCAAGGCATGCGTTTTGGCAATGGCCTTGAATTGTTTAAAAATTATGTCCAAAAGTGTTAGCAATGGATATTGTTCATTCGAAGGCAAATTTTGTTCTATCATATGGTGAGTAGTGTTATGTACAACTTCCAGCAATTCCGTTTGGATGCCAATACGTATTTTTTCTAACGCTTCCGATACTTTGCCCAACATCCCGAAACATTCCAAAATAACAGCTATAAAATAGATCATGCTAAGTTCAGGGTCTATTAGATCGACATCTTCAATTATTTCCGACTGTAGCAAATTTACACCTTGGGACATTTCCTTTAAAGCTTGACGTACTCGCGAGGTAGCTTCGATACGATCCGTAGAACGCCTTGTTCCCATTCCGCGAGTAAAATTTGTGTTTAAGCGATTCAAATTACTTCGCTGGAAAGCTAACATTACTTCATTGGCGGAATTGTAATATAATTGCTGCACAAGTTCCTCATGCAAACGTTGATATAAAAGCTGCCGCCGGACAATTAAGTCACTACGCAAATCATTTAAACCCTCAACTTCTTGGAGAGGACCATTAATCAATGTTAAAGCATCGTTTAAAGTTTTACTGGCATGCAAATACTGGCGCTTAGAGGTATAATTGACCACAATTTGAGGCACTTTACGTAAATCGTTGCTAATAAAATAAGAACATAACGATCAATAAAGTCAATAATAAAAAAAGTACGCAAGTACTAACATTTGTTCCAGCATGGACAATACATGCTTATGTTGCACAGCATCTGTCCACATTTTTTTTAATTCTTCTCGGCGGCATTGTAGCAAACGTTTGCAGGCACTTAAATTCTCCTTTACGGCGTGTATTCGCTCACGACTTGCAGCTATTTCAGTCGTAACTTGAGTGAACAAGGGTATCACTTGCGATAGTTCATGATCATGGTTGGAAACTAAATCATTTAAACGTTGATCGGAAAGTTTGAATTCCTTTTCAATTTTCTGCTTTTCCTTTTGACGCTCCTCATTGGTTTCGCTGAATCCCAGAGATTTAATCACATTTACCAGGAAACCACAACCAGCCTAAAATATCGAATTACCTATTATTAATTCATTTAGATAATCAACGCCCATCATTAATTACTATTTTTCATTTCAGTTCCAAAAAAAAAACTTTGTCCTTAAAAAATATGCCCATAACCCAAATTTTGACAGCTGTCTACCACTATTGCAAAATGTCATCATGTTTTTTACTTAACAATTGACCGATTTTGTTTAATTGTTTTCACTGATTATTATTGGTTTATGCATAAACTTTTTATTGCACTTAATTTAACTGTCTATTTATTTAACTTTTTAAAAGAAATTTTCAATTTTTTATCGTGTATTACCTCATCTTTTCCATATTTTCCACGGGGAGGTTTCACTGGAGGTGGCATTGTATTGTATAAGGTTCAGGCTTGCGTTCTGCTTTGCAACGCTGAACCATCTGATGTTGCTCGCTGAATAGCTTTTAAAAGAGGAAGAAGAAATGAAATCACAGAAAGTTCAATTGAAAAATGCCGGAGACTTTTATAACAAGTAAAATGAAAACGAAAGCTGGTGTAGTCGAAGCCGATAAAGAAGCAGACCTTGAAAAAAAAGAAGTTGCGACGCTTACCAAACCGACTAGTGTGGTTAAATATAATTTGACAAACTTCCGTTTACAACGCATTCTTAATAATAATACGCGGAATAAAAGTATAGCTTTATTGGGCTGCTTTCCAGAGCAATCTGACGCTGATAAAGCCGTAGTTATATTTGAGAAACAAGCCTTTCGCGAAAGCGAGGTTGCTACTGAATCAGACCAATCTGGAAAACAATTATTAGAAAAAAATTGCGAGAATAATGTAAAAGACACTTCTCTGATGTCATATTTTTGCAGCGATTTAAAAGTTCAAACAGAATTCATTAACGATATTTATGGAAGTTATCAATGCGTTCCTCCAGTTGAACTCAGTGGTTTGTTTACGACGTACATGTTAATGAAAATTTTCGTTTTTTACCTTTGCTGATTTTATAGGTGTAAAAACTACTGTAATTTATCCTGCCTCACAAAAGCACATTGAAAAATATACCGTTTGCCAGAAATACATAATAAGTGAATCCCCCGAACTTTACGAAGAGATTACATTGCCCTACATAAGCACTAGCCAACATTCATTGGAGGTAAGTTTTCAATACATAAAATAAAAATATATACAGCCCTTACCGTTTATGCATTTATGTCGTACACCATTTGTTGTACAGCGTGTGCGTGCGGATATACGTAACATCCAGACAATGTTAAGGCAAACCTGTCTTTTTTTTACAGCGCCAGATTCAGAATCATTTTCTGTCTAAGCTGGCCTGCCCGCATACTTCATGTATTGTATAATCGCAGTTTTTGAGATATTTTGATAACACTCGGTACACTGACTTATTCTGGCCCAGCCTATTGAAAACGATTTGGATTGGACAACTTTTCGACAACTCCTTTTTTTGAAAAGTCGTTATATAGAAAACTTACAACTTTCAATATTTCGTGACAAAAATTGCTGAGTAAGAGTATTTTGATATTCTTAACTCGCGTGAATAAGTCTACTTTGTATAAGACAAAGGGCTGGCAAATACGCGGGTTATCATGAAAAAGTATGCTTTTACCTGGAAATAATGTGTAACTTTTGCTATATTATCACGGAAAGGGGTGAATAACTGTATTGGTTTCTCTCATCCAAACGCTAGTTTCAATCATCGAAATTTAGATTTTCCCGCTGCCGTGAAAAGTAGAAAGGTAGCATCATTAAAACGGGCCTATCTTGTTTTTATCGCAATGTTCAGCAGTAGAGCTGCACATCTGAGTATACCTATATTCAACTGACTTTGACTTTGTATTGAGGCCTTTTTTTACGGTATATTAATATGCCTTATTTATATTTCATTCCATGTTAGTGTGCCCAGCCGTATAGTATAGTATCTACGGACACATTCTCTAATTCATAAAAAAGAAGATATCGCTTGCATTTTTGCAAAAGTGCTTGAAAATGGCCGAAACAGACTAAGGAACATGCTTACAACCCCGCAAAGACGTACAACCAGAACCGAGAACGCCCTTGCCTTGTTCGTTGCTAATGAACTACAACAAATACACAATATAAATTACCACAAAAATAATTCTGCAAAAACAGAAAATACAATATTATCGAAAGTGCAAATTTATATTATTCCCTTTTTTTTAAAAACAGTGGCGGTTTATAAAAGGGCATCTGAATTTCCTTACTTGTTTCTAATTAGATGTGCTAAGTTTTATCCTTTATAAGTTTTTATTATATCGTTGAAAATTGTTGATAATAATATTGCTGATCCTATTTTCATTTTTTAAATTTTATTTGTTTTATTTCAAGTGGGTATACAATATTCTCGATCACAAGCAAGAAGTGGAACGCATTGTTTATGAGGATCCCGACCCAGAAACCGGTTTCATTTTGTTACCTGATCTAAAATGGGATGGTCGCACGTTAGAAACCTTATATCTTTTGGCCATTAGCCACAAACGTGATATTAAATCGATGCGTGATCTTAATGCTCAACATTTACCATTACTGCGTAATATTCGTTTACGGGCAGCAGAGGTTATTGAAAAACGTTATGGATTACTGTCTGCACAATTGCGCATGTACTTGCATTATCAACCCAGTTTCTATCATTTGCATGTACATATTAATCCAATACGTCATGATGCTCCCGGTATTTGGTGTGAAAAATCTCATATGCTTGATACGGTCATGAATAATTTGGAGTTAATTGAAAATTATTATCAAAAAGCTACTCTACCATTTGTTTTACATGAAGGTAACGAGCTCTTGGAGAAATATGAATTAAAAATGCTTATACGTAGAGCACCCAAACATTTATCTGAAAAATACAACGAGAAAGATGAAACAAGCAGTAGCAAGAAACTGAAACTTGATGATGTAACTATAAGTGAAGTTGTTAGCAAATGATGAATATAAAAACTAACAATTTTAACAAATTGTGCATTAAAAGTAAAATCAAAAATTAAAAACAAAGTAACACGTTGAAAGTGAAATAAAATTTAAGTAGTGCTTAAAAATCTAATATTAGACAATTTTTAAAAACTTACGATTGAATGAATTGTTCTACAACTATTGTATATTAATAAGAATGTTTATATTTTCCATCATTTTCGTTGTACGAAATATACGAAATATCAGGTTGAGGATTGCGCCGTTGCAATCGAACTTTCCTCAAAAGAAATTTTGCTAAAAAATTGTTGGAAAAATAAGGACATTTTTACGTTTGGGCCAAATTGCCTATACGAAATTTTCGTTTCTTAAAGCAAAAATGAAGTATGGAAACAAGGGAGCAGTTCCGAATTTTTGAAGCAAGTATATCATGCAGGATAATCATGTATCTGAAAGCTAGTGAAGATAGCAGCAAGAAATCAGTAGAAGAATCGTCGTCATCTTCGACATCATCATCTTCTGAAAATGAAGAAGTCCTGCAAAAAAAGAGTTTTGACTAATAAAAAGACCAAAAAGAAATTGAAAACACCTGAAAGGAAAAGAATGGAAAAACTTATAAAAAGGGAAAATACACGCACAGAAGAACAACAAAAGGCGCTAAAAGAAAAAAATACGAAGTCGCTAACGATGCAAGAGCTTGCGGACGATAAAGAGATTCGCAAATTTGCTGAGAAGGAAATCGTCACTTTCTGATTTAAGAATGTACTGCCCCGTAAATGAACTGAACACAATCATCTCCTCTTCTTGATTTTAGGAAGAACTGGATATCCTTTATATTTTTATATTGTAAGGAAGCGTTTTGGTTCCTTACTATTAACAGGTTCGCCCGCTTAAATGTCTACCCGTGGACCCTAGTAACCTTGAGTCCAGTTCCTCCGTCCGCACGAAAAAAACTGAAGACCTCTGCGTAGGGCACTGGATCATCTGCCTCTGGCCCTAACGTAAGGTAAGAAACCGTTAACCACATTAACTTCACACAAATGTAGTACAAACATATGTAACACAAGCATTACACAAATATGGTGCAAACACATGTAGTAGTGACCACATGAATATAGTTGGAAAATAAAAAAAAATAAACACCACATACATAATTGTACAAAAATTATATAGACACACACGAGCATAGAAATATGTAGGAAAAAAAACGCATAAACTGTAAAAACACATATAACAAAGTATATAAATGTATAAACGCCGTTAGGCTACGCAAACATATATAAGCACTTATGCTTTAAAATATATAAGCTCATACGATCATGTAACAACGCATAAACTGTATAAACACATCTAAAAATATATGGAAATGTATAAACGCCGTTAGGCCATGCAAAACCTGCACACGGATAAACGCACATGTATAAAAAGGGATACACACATACGGTCAGGTAAATATGTATTAAAATGTATAAATGTATTGCCATGCAAAATGTGTAGAGATGTGAGATCGCACATGCAAAATATATAGACACACACGTATAAACATGTATAAACACACATAAACAGAAAAATACACTAACTCTACATGAAATGTATAAACTGTAGAAACGCATGCAAAGTATTCGTAGATAGGGAAACGCGTAATGTACACATAGGATAGAAACATAAGAGGAAAAAAAACCGTGGCGAAGGAAAATATTGTAAGCGTAGCGAGTCTAGCACTCACATACCTAACGGTTAACAAATCAGGCTATTTGATGCCTAGAGCAGCAAAGACAGTGAAACGAACAGAAGAATAAGCACACAAACAAGCATAGCGAGTCTAGCACTCACATACCTAACGGGCAACAAACCACGTGCTTTGGTACCTGGGTCAATACCACACAAATGCATGTGGGGCAGGGCAATATAACAAGCAGAAGATTAGGCATATGAACAAGTATAGCAATAAGATAGACATAAGTTGGCACGTAAGAGAGTACTAGTACTAAGTTATGTATAAGCAATTTCATGCAAGCCAACCTACATTAAGCATACGTATAAGTATAGTACCTCAATGCACATGTAAACGCATACAGCCTAAAACATGTTGGTGATGGAACAAGCGAGCGGGACTTAGACTATAAAAGAGCGTCTCACCACAGGGAATCTTTCAATTGTGTCATAGCCGCCTAAGGTAAGTCTGCACGGACAATTTGACAAGGTGATCTTTTTTTTATGACTTTACGGATAGGGTATGTATTGGCTAGCTGTTAGTCGTCATCCCTGAAGGACTTTTTAGGACCACTGACTCTACGGATAGGGCATGTACTGGCTAGCTGTTAGTCGTCATCCCTAAAGGACTTTTTAGGACCACTGACCTTATGGATAGGGGATGTACTGGCTAACTGTTAGTCGTCATCCCTGAAGGACTTTTTAGGACTATTGACTCTACGGATAGGGGATGTACTAGCTAACTGTTAGTCGCCATCCCTGAAGGACGGAAGAACAGTTTTTTGTTCGATTGCTCTTACATACGAACAACGAACCAGAGACAAACCGTTGGCACAGAGAGCCAAGACAACTATGACACAAGCAAGGTATCCGATTTTTGTCGTAATCCGCGATAGTACAAGGAAAATCTCGAACCACGTGTGCGTCAAATCGGTCATAAAAGCCACACCAAAAAGTCTGGTCACCTCGCTGGTTTCCTCCTACCCCTCTACAAATCGCTTGTAATCTTTTATACAAATAAAAGCAACCTAAGGTCATACCCGAAGGTCCAAAACATTTTTTTTTCTTATAAATTCTCTTGGAAGGAGTCCTGGAGTGGCTGTAGTTACCCTGCCCAAGAAGACTCGTTAAACTATTTATACCCACATATATACGACAAATTATTTCTTCAAGTGACCCGGGATGAGCAAATATTGGCACACTCTGGTAATTATCAACTATCAGTTAGAGTTACAACGGCATTTGCAGACATTGAGTTGCTTATTATCATAATTGCATTCATTTGCATAAAACTATTAATACAATTATTTTTATTGATATTAATCTCATCTTTTTATAACATTAATATCTTAATTCTTTTGCAACCATGTACATAGGCATGAATTTTTTTTTTTTGTTATAACATCTTGAATTAAAATACCCATATTGGGTCACATGCATTTCAGTTTATTTTATATTTTTCCGTTAAACCCCACTGACTGCATACATGCTATTAGTTGCTACTGTTCTTAATTTAGCTAATTATGGCAGATATAATTGGAGAGCATACAAAGTAAATGTAACTAACGTAATGTGAGAGAAGCGTATAATCATTATATTTTATGAGTCGTCCTCAAAAACAAAGACTGGAAATTACCAAAATTTCTTAAGAAAATATATCCAGATCTCCAGAAGCAAATCAATAATAAAGAAACTATAATTGCTTGTGTTTTTTAGTGCCGTATTTGGCTGCGACGTTTAGCGGCGTGATATACCATTTTTTTATAAAAAGCGTTAATCACTATTAATTATGAATTGTGGAAATTCACGACAAATATCTGGAAGAAGAAACGCCCTAAGTTTTAGTTGCATATTATTTAACTATAGGTCTATCACTTCATCACTTTATGCTTGCTATTCCAGTAAACACTTTTCGGGGCACTTGCGGGATGTTGTCTATCGATATTTTATGCAATTGTCGCTTGTGGCTTCCTCCCTTGCGTTTCATTAATGTCGGTTTGGCTGCTCCCCCTCTTGTCTGATTATGTTGTTGTGTAATTATTGTGTTGTGTTGCGAAAGTCTCTTAAGAACTGTTGAACCGTTCTCTTTATCGCAACCAGGATTTGTGTTTTACTTTTAGAGCAAAGCGATCGAGACTGATCATTTAATTCAAAGTTGATTATTTATTTAAATACATCAAGTTTATTAAAAATTTTACCACATCCTAAGAATGCAAATATTTCATCAATACGTGGCAATGGATTTAGAAATTCACTAACCATTATTAAAGATGTGCCTAAACCTAATTCGATGAAATCATTTTGTCTAATTTTGTTTTCCAAACACTGGTAATAGTCTGGACTTTAAGAAAATTGGTTTAACACTTTTATGAATTTTTAATGCAATTCTGATACTGTTCACTAAATACTTGGCTTAATTGTTTTAAATTAATGAAAGAAGTAGGTATAAACTCTAATTTTGTTTTCCAAACACTGGTAATAGTCTGGACTTTAAGAAAATTGGTTTAACACTTTTATGAATTTTTAATGCAATTCTGATACTGTTCACTAAATACTTGGCTTAATTGTTTTAAATTGATGAAAGAAGTGGGTATAAACTCTTTGTAAATCGAATTCGATTACTTGACGTAATTCAAAATGATACTAAGACAGCAAGCTCATTTAGGGTATAAGTGATTTTGGCGTCGTATTCACCAACACTTAATATGTGATCACCACTATAGTTGGCGTAAGAATTTTTTAAAGCTTTTTTAAGCTGGAAGGGAAATTATCATGGTTGGAAGGAGTTTTATAATAATGCTATAACACCAACGCTCTCACTTTCTATTCTATTGCTAACGTGTATAAACCACACTTGTAAGAATTGCCAAATGCAAAGTTTTTAATGTGAAGGCATTACCAGGAAAACATATTTGGCAATTAACAATTGACAACACGCGATAATGGTGTAGTATAAAACGATTCAGTTTCTTGAACCAATTTGTATGTTCGAACTTGATTGACTTGAAGGCAATCAAAAAAAAAAGTGTTATCAACTAGCGCGAAGGTAGAAACGGTACACCTTAAGCTTCTGAACGTGTTTGAAGGGTTTCGGCAACAGATATCTTCAAAACAAACAACAACCAAAAAGAATGTCGAAAGTGCAATATGATTAGCGTTGGCATACGCTGAATAAATCAATAATATTAAATCGAAGACTGATTTTTTGTGTAGAGGAAGAAATCAACGAAGTTAATCGTTATACACACACAATGGTATATCCCACTGCTTTATCATTTTTACCTGAAGAAGTTTACAAACACCTAAGATCTGACCGTGAACGGGCACATTTCACACGTAAGGGCAAGTATTTAGCTCTGGTCATGGAAAATCT